CCCGAAAGAGAGCTGGGAATTATTAATCCTTGCTTCCATTTCACCTTTTTCCTGACTTCATTGTAATGTTCCACATATTTTCCAGCCTCTTCCGCCAAATCCATAGTTAAGGATTGACTAACATCCAAGGAAAAATGCTGAGACGTGCTTATTACTGCGTACTTGGCAGTAAGTACCAATTTGAAAACTTCAACATCAAGAACCAGAATTTGGTAAATTTCAAAACTCGGTTTGAAGATATTTCCTCCCAACTTTACTACAATTTTATTTTCTATCACCCCCAGCTTGGCCTCAGATTGAATGAACACTGATACTCCAATTGCAATCTTCTGTGGATCATCCAGACTGTGCCTCATTACCTTTACACACTTCTTGTTATCCAATCTTGTCAACAAGAGCTTAGATAGATTGTCTGCAGGTCTTTTCTGTTTCCAGCTACGAGAAGGAGTACCAAAGTGCAAGGGATTTCTAGATGAATAATCTGCTACAACCCAAAAAGACACAAGATACTCTCTTAGATCATTATAAGATCTTCCAGCATAAGTCGTCCACCTAAAACAAACAGCAGTAGGTCCAATGCTCAGGTTTCCAATTCCCAAACAGTCTCTAGCAACACGGTTTGTGACAAAAGTATGATAAGCCCTACTAGGTGGTAGATGCTTCATTTGTTTCCATATGTCATCTTCCTTCTTCTCATGTTTCAGATCATCAGCCCTCTTGTCACAATACATCAAATAACCATCCTGCAAAATATGGGTCATAGTTTTTAGTGAAACTTCCAGAGAATTTAGTTGGGGATCCCCCTGAACTACTTGCACGTTTCCCTCTTCCTCCCACTTGATGATCTGCTTTTGGAAATTGATTTCCACATCTCCCAGACTGGTAAGCCACTCCATCCCCAGAACCACGTCAGTGCCCCCAATTTCAAGGATGTAAAAATCCTATTGTATTTCAGTTTTCTGCAAGCATAACTTCATTCTTCCACATCTCCTATTGTTCGTCAGTTGATCCCCATTACCAGTTTGCACCTTATACCTTGCACTGGTCTCATGAGGTATATTCAGCTGATTTACAATCCTTAGAGATATAAAGTTGTGGGTTGCACCACTATCAATGAGCACTTCCACTCCTTTCTCTACCCCCCCCCCCCCCCCATTTTCCTTTTAAACACCCCTTTACCTTAAAAGCCCTCATAGAGGGTATCCCCTCTTTGCTCATAAGGGACAACTGCATAGATTTTGACTCCATGGTAACCTCTTCCGTTTCTGATGTGTCAGGATCTCAGCTGTCCTGCTTTTTTTCACTCTCAGAGTCTTCTACCATAATCAGCTTATAGTTTTTCATCTTACATGTGTGTTCCTTACTCCATTTTTCTCCACATTTAAAACCAAGGCCTCTCATGCTTCTATCTTTGTACTCTTCCTGTGTGAGTTGAAGTCCCGCACGTTTGATCCCAGATGGATGAATTTATGTGACCTTCTTCCCTCTCAAAGACGTAAAATAGTTATTGAGGGACTTTTTAAAGCAAATGCGCATTCCCCTCTCTTTTTTGACAGGATGAGGAAAAAAACCTTTTTTTCTATACCATACCTGGCTCAACTGAAACGACTTTTTATAAAATGGTCATCCAGAAACGAGTTCAGTATTTTAGAGTCTACAGAGGAAAAAAAAACAATAATAAAAAGAGAAACCAAAAAGGAAAAGAAATGACGAGAGGAAATAAAACGGTTAGAGATAGGGGAAGCCTGGGAGACTTTCCCATATACCCAAATAATAAGAGGTTTGTTATTAAGCAGTGATAGTCTGTTTCAGGCTAAGCATCGGCCCATATGGATTCTGAATTAAGTCTGGCTGAAACCTGCGTATGATAGATGTCTTCAGATTCTCCCATGTCCTTTCATTCTGGTGTTCCCACCATATAAATCAGTTAATAGCCCTGCCTTCCATGGCAACTACTGCTGCCTCCACATGTTCCTCTTCATTAATATGGTTCAGAAGAAAATACCTTTCCATCCTTACAATCCAACTGTAAGCACCTTCTCCATCAAACACAGGCAAATCAAATTTTCTACCCGTATATACTTAAAATCTATACATATCATCTGACCTTCTGTGATTTGGTATATGCGACATCACAAGATTACCAACAAGGGGATTTTGGGTATGCGATAAGGTCGGATTATCTCCAGAAGTAGTTGGGCTGCGAGAAGATCGCAGGTGATGTCGAGGTTGAGATCGTGATCTCTCTCTAGACCGCAGCTGCTCATTCATCGCGGCCATGGATGCCGCCAGATTTTCTATTGCCAGCCGCTGATCATTCATCGCTGATCGGAATTCTTGTTGCACCTCCAATAATTTCTGATCATGTTCCTCTCGCATCTCAGCCAGATTCCACTCCAAATTATCCAAGCGAATATCCATCTCCGCCCTTGTTCGTACCATTCACCACTGCTACAGACTTTGTTACCTTCATATCACAAATCCGAACTCCAGGAGCAAATGCTCTGATACCAATGATAAGACACTTACAGTAATCAAGCAAAAACAGTAACAATATGGATAGAATTTGCAAAGAAATAGAGAAATAGACATGTTTATTGAAAGGGAACGATCAACGTAGGGTACAATCAAAGGGACTGTTAGAGAAGCCCACTCTCCAAGCCACAACCAAATCTGAAATAACAGTCTGCCTTAATAAGCTACTCCCACCTCTATTTATAGTGAAAGTCCACACAGGGACCAACTGACAACTCATTATCTATTTTACCCATCAGGCCCCTTATTTCTATTTATACTACTCCAAGTATTTTTACTATTATTATTATTTCTTATTGAAAGCCCACTAAACCCGGATTCCTATCAGAGCCAAGCTTCCTTCTAAACTGATATATTTCTCCCATTTCCCACCCTACGACGACTCCGCGACTACCCTCTACCACAACTCCTTGAGCAGCTAGTATACTTCGCCAAAGAAAAGACGAATTATTTCCAATCTTAGCATCCACAAAAGTACCCTTAGGAAAATACTTTTCCTTTAAAACCCTACTGACCAATGATGTTGGCTGAGTTAAGAGTTTCCACTATTGTTTCGCCAACATAGCTATGTTAAATTCCTTCAAGCGCCTAAATCCTAGCCCTCCGCATGTTTTTGGGACACACAGTGCCTTCCAATTTTTCCACCGGATTCCTTTACCTGTAAAATCATTACCTCTCCACCAATAGTCATTCATAAGCCACTCAATCTCATCAATTAGGTTGTCTGGTAAAAGGAACACATTCATAGCATAAGTAGGCATGGCTTGAAATGATATATATTAATGCTAATACTATGTATATATTATATCCTTGGAGACTTAAATGGTTAATATTAATTTAAAATGTATTGAATAAAAATGAAGTGTGTAAAGTCGTAAAAAACTTACGATAATACGGAGTATATCATTGCAATAGTATTAAAGGTTAAATTCTTTTTTAATTGTATAATTTTAGAAATAATTAAATTGGTGTGTGAATAGAATTATCCATGTAAAAAACTAAAACGAATACTACCTTCATCCCTTAATTAAAGTCATTGACGTTTTGAGTCAAACTTGTTACTTTGACCGCTTATTACTCAAAATTCATAATGTTTTATCCAAAACAATTATTTAATGTGCTCCATTTTACTACGGAGTATGTATTCTTCAAATGTCAATTTATTATAGATTTTATAGGTATAAATTACTACCCCGTCCCACTAATCTTGGGACGAAGGGGGAGACATGTTTATTCAGAAAAGTGAGTTTATGTGTTGATATTGATAAATAAAGTATGAATAAAATAAGAATAATTAAGGATCACACAAATTTACCAAATTTTTATATGAGACAATTTTAGTAAGATTTTCCAAAAAGATAAAATGAAAAAATATTAATGAAACAGATGGAATAATAGATAACAAAAATCAAACGTTTGCGTTAAAAGTCAACTTTGACTTTAATTGTGAGACGGATGAAGTACCCTCAAAAAAATAGGCTAGGCTCTGGCCTAGAGATGACAATTGTGACCGATCCGATGGATACCGCACCGAACCGCCCCGGTCAAAATGGGGAAAACCGTATTGACCGGGTAATGGGTACGGGGCGGGGAGTACCCATTTTGTTTTTACGGGTAACGGGGCGGTTACGGTTTTATGCATGTCTGCCCCATTACCTGCCCCGAACCCGCCCCGTTTATTTTTAGTTATATTTTATTACATTCTTATCTATTAATTGTCTTACAACTAATAAAAGATGAGATTTTTAATGTTCATTGTGTATATATGGATAATAAATGTACTAACTATAGTGTAAGAATGAAAGTTCTCAATAGAACTTAATAGCCTTGTTTGATTATTATACTACCTCCGTCCCTTTTTATTTAGCCATCTTTGACTTTTCCAGTCAAAGGTGATAAACTTTGATCCATTATTTCAACCAATATATTTATGTAAAACTTAATAAATTTATACTTTTATGATAGTATTTTTAACAAAGAACATTTTTCATATAATTTTCACATTATCAATATTACCGTGTATAAATATATAATTGGTCAAAGTTGAACAACTTTGACTCGGAAAAAGGTGTTTGGCTAAATAAAAGGGGACGGAGGGAGTATGATTTTTTGTGATTAATTATTTTTCAGATCAAGTATTTTTAGGTTCAAATTAATTTAGGTTGTTTTCTTTCTCGTCTTATAGATATATGAAGCTTTAAAGTGGCGTCTGAATCTAGCGTCGTCTAGGTGATGCCATTTTTCGCCTTTTAAAATATTATTTTTTGTTAAAATATCAATGACTCATTTAATAAAGTGATTAACCGCGGTTACCCGCGGTTATACCCGTTACCCATTGGGGCGGTTATGGTTTGGGTACAAATTACCCGTTGGGTAATGGGGCGGTTATGGGGCGGGGGAATTACCAAACGGGACGGGTACGGTTATATGTAAAACCGTCCCCGATCCGCCCCGTTGCCATCCTGGCCGGCCAGTCCCAGCCCATTGCCTAGTTCCTAAATCTTAAACCAGATTTCAGGCCTAATCAAAGGAAGTTTAATTTCCCGTTAGGGGAGTCGCATGGTCGCAGAGATCCCCCACAAGGCCACAACCCCGCACCCTCACCGGCTCAGACGCCCGCACGCCCGTCGGCAGGCGGCCTGTCGCCGACGCCAGAGCCAGAGGTCAGTCCGCCGCCCTCCCCCGCTGCCTGGCAGTCTGCTTTTCTGCATCTGGGAGTTCCGGCTCCTTCTGCTAATCGTCCCAACTCTAGGTAAGTCACAAGTGTTTATTGTTTGAATTTTAATTGTAATTTAAGTAGCTGATAGTTTGAAATATTGATTCTTGAATGTCGTGTTTGAGTGTTTGACTGTTTTAGTGTTTTACTAATACGAAGTATAAATTTGTAGGAATGTAAAATGTGAATCGGTTCTACAATTGGTGAATAAATTGTTTCAATTTTATTATTGAAAATTAGGATTGTGAATTATGATAAAATATTAATATGAATTATTTGATTGAAAATAATATATTGATTAATTTTATTATTTTTTGTCAATTTAAGAAGGAATGATTACTCAGTCTACTTCTAAAAAGGAAAAACAATATGAAAAATGCTTGAGGTACACAAAATGTGTACACAAATTGTGTACACATGTCTGTTCTTCACAGAAATTTTGTCTGTCACAAACAATTGATTTTGAGTTGTCTGTGACAGACAAAATTTCTGTGAAGGACAGATATGTGAAGGACAAAATTTTGTGTATCCCTAGAAAAACTCAAACAATATTGCTTTAGATGAAATTTAATGGATTAATGGATTCTCAAAAGGCATAAACAACATTGACTAATGAATTTTAATTACTACAGCCACAGAACCGAATCAATTATGTACTAGTCACAAATGTGCAAAAGAGCATCCGCAATGGGGTATAGTCTAGTCTATAAAAAAACACGCCACCTCACCAAATTAGACATCTTCCATTTATTTTCCCCTCCAATGCGTAATCTTTGATGAGTTGGCATAAAAACGGATACACACTGTGAGAGTTAAATGTTACATGGGGTGAGATCACATACAAACTAGTCCTCCCATACTCCTACAAACTGCCACACACTGTGCATCTTTACATTATTTATATTGCATATTGAAGTTCAAAGTGTTGCATATTATTTGTATTGCATATTGATGTTCAAAGTGTTGCATATTATTTGTATTGCATATTGAAATTCACAGTGTGCATCTTTACATTATTTGTATTGCATAGTGAAGTTCAAAGGGTTGCATATTATTGAGTTTGTAGATTAGTATTTTAAGCATAGTTTGTATTTGATCTCTTATCAGTATGTGTATATATATACAGAATAGATCAGATCCATCCGGAGGGACGGGAGGTGCCGTTCGGCCATATGAGGCCCTTCCCGTGGAATTTTTTGATGAATTTTTTTGAGCATGTTCCTCATCAAGTCTAGTTTATCCACACCAAATTTCAACTAAAAATTCAACCGGGAAGGCACTCAAATGATTTTTGGAAGATAACTGCGTTTTATATGTATATAAACTGCGCAATTAACTTCAAAAATCATTTGACTGCCTTCCCGATTGAATTTGTAGCTGAAATTTTGTATGGATAAACTAGACTTCATGAAGAACATGCTCCAAAAAATTTAGCAAAAAATTCCACCGGGAAGGGCCCCAAATGGCGATGGCCGGACGGCGGGTCCTGTCCCTCCGGCTGGACAAGATCATGCACATATATATATATATACAGGAATATTCCTGTCCGGAAATGTTCGGCCTCCTCCATTTGGGGGCCTTCTCGGTGGTATTTTTTGCTCAAATTTTTTGTGTATGTTCCTCATCAAGTCTAGTTCATCCATACCAAATTTCAGCAAAAAATTCAACCGGGAAGGTCGTCAAATGATTTTTGCAAGTTAACTGGTCCGGAATATGTATTTTCCGGACCAGTTAACTTGCGAAAATCATTTGACGACCTTCCCGATTGAATTTTTGTCTGAAATTTGGTATGGATGAACTAGACTTGATGAGGAACATACACAAAACATTTGAGCAAAAAATACCACCGGGAAGGCCCCCAAAACGAGGAGGCCGGACGGCGCTCCGGTCAGGAAATTCCTAACCGGAAGATTACTCTATATATATATGTACACAAATGTTCCTGTCAGGTATACCTGACAGGAACCGCCGTCCGGCCTCCTCCTTTTGGGGGCCTTCCCGGTGGTATTTTTTGCTCAAATTTTTTGTGTATGTTCCTCATCAAGTCTAGTTCATCCATACCAAATTTCAGCAAAAAATTCAATCGGGAAGGTCGTCAAATGATTTTTCCAAGTTAACTGGTCCGGAATATGTATTTTCCGGACCAGTTAACTTGCAAAAATCATTTGACGACCTTCCCGATTGAATTTTTTGATGAAATTTGGTATGGATGAACTAGACTTGATGAGGAACCTACACAAAAAATTTGAGCAAAAAATACCACCGGGAAGGCCCCCAAAAAGAGGAGGCCGGACGGTGGCTCCGGTCAGGTATACCTGACCGGAAGATTACTCTATATATGTATATATATATATATATGTGTGTGTGTGTGTGTGTGTGTGTGTGTATATATATATATATACAATGTTCTAAAAGGCGCTAGTCGGGCGTCAGCCTAGCGGCTAGGCGGACGCCTAGTCGGAGACACAAAAATTGCATTTTTATCTATATTTTTGCATAAATATGATAAGTAATATTGTATTTTTGTGTGTATAAAATACATATATACATATACATTAACAAACATGAAAGATAGAATTCTCACATTTAATCATACGTAGTATATGATAACTAATCACTCAACTTCATTATGTTATATATATAAATAATGATAAAATTTAGGTATATATACAAACATATATAGTTTTATCTTAATTTACAACTTCATTTCTTTATATCCATGGCTAAAGTTAAAGTACATATATCGCTTAGAAAATAAAAATTAAAAAGTAAAGTAATGTTCGGCAAATCTAGACGGCCTAGGCGGCCGATTAGGCGCTCTAGGCGGGCAACTAGGCGCCATAGGCGGCCGATTAATTCAACTAGACGGAAAACCAATTAGTTGGAGTGCCTAGACGAAAATCGGGGCGCCCGACCACCGCCTAGCGCCTAGGCGGGGACTAGTCGGGCGCCTAGAACGATTTTTAGAACAGAGTATACATATATATAGAGAGAGAGAGTAGTGATCACCTCAGGTAATTCTGACGGGAACTACTGTCTGAACTTGTTCATTTGAGGGGCTCCCGAGTAGAAATTTTTGACGAAATTATGTGAGCATGTTTTTCATGAAGTGTAGATTATGTCTACAAAATTTCAGCTTAAAATTCAACCGGAAAGTCCGTTAAATAAATTATTGAAAACACTGCGCCAAAATTTATATAAAAAACACAGTGTTTTGAATAACTTATTTAACTGATTTTATGTTAAGTTGAAATTTTATGGACATAATCTGCACTTCATGAGTATTTACATAATTTTATCAAAAAGTTCCACCGGAAGCCCTCAAATAGACAAGTTTTCACACAATTGGCTGCTTATTTCCACAAACCTTCTTTATATATACTCCGTACAAATGTTGCTATCTTTCTCTCTCTCACTCTATGTTTATATACTCCCTCCGTCCTGGGTAATGTTTTCCGATCGAATTACTATATTTTATACTCACAAAAATATCTTGAAATTTAATAAAAGTTGGATATATAAAGTAAAAAATTATGAATAGTATACATTAATCGGAGAATAGTGGACTAGAATATTTACTTAAGAGGAGGTATAGTGTATGGGTTCGGGTGAGAAATCAGAAATGCAATTGTTTATAATGCAATTTGGTATCAAATTATCAATTATAAGTATAATATACATTTATAGGTAACTAAGAAATATATACTACCTCCGTCACTTAAAAACTTCTCACTTTCTTTTAATTATATTGATGTCCCTAAACAAAGCCTCTTTTCCTTATTTCATAAATAGATATCTATTAATTTATTTTAGTATCCTTAAGTAATAATAATGACATAGCAATGCTAAACAATGCCAAAATTGTGTATTATATAGTAAAATGTACTTCTCAGTGAAAGGTGCATTTCAGTAAGCCAATTCAAAAATATCATTTTCTTAAATAAGTGATATTGAAATCAGGAAGTTTAAAGAAAGTATATATTAATATACATAATCACGAAAGATTCATTGAATTGAACATTACAATGAGAAGGTAACTAATTAAACCTTAACCATGCGGAAATCTGACCAAGGCAAATCATGTTGTATCAATACATATAAATCCTATTGCATATGATTACAAGATACAAATATTTCCTATTATTGTAACATTTACTGCGATTAACAATTAACCCTGAATAACTTTTGCCAAAAAGTAAATAAAGTAATCGAGAAAATGGTCAAATAAGGATGTTTTCTTTTGGACTGTTTTCTGTCCCAGACCAGACCAGATCAGACCAGACCAGACTTAAACAGACCAGACCAGATCAGACTTAAACAGATCAGACCAGACCAGACCAGACTTGGATAGTTATAAAATACACAGAGACCAGACGTTTACCAGACCAGACCAGACCAGTTCAGACCAGACCAGACCAGACTTAAACAGACCAGATCAGACCAGACCAGACCAGACTTAAACAGACCAGATCAGACCAGACCAGACCAGCAAATTTCAGTCCAAAAGAAAACATCGTAAGGCCTTCTAGTCTTCTACTATTATGAAATGGTCACATAAGGCCACATACTCAATAAAGTGTCATATAAATACGTCTACTTATAAAAAACAATCGAATGAGTCCTAATGACCTGTTGACAACCTCTTAATCCTGATTTTAGCTTACGTTTCATTTTTTTACTTGTATTTCAACCAATCTTAGGTAAATATATTCGACATGTGCCGTATAATCTATTATAAAAAGATGGTTTCAAGAACACTAAAATCGGGATTAAGAGGTTGTAAATAGGTCGTTAGGACTTATTTGATTGTTTTTTACAAGTAGACGCATTTATATGACACTTTATTGAGTACATGGCCTTATGTGACAATTTCATAATAGTAGAAGACCTTATTTGACCATTTTCTCTAAGGATGTTTTCTTTTGGACTGAAATTTGCTGGTCTGGTTTGGTCTGGTCTGAAATGGTCTGGTCTAGTAAACGTCTGGTCTCTGTGTATATTATAACTATCCAAGTCTGGTCTGGTCTGTTTAAGTCTGGTCTGGTCTGTTTAAATCTGGTCTGTTTAAATCTGGTCTGATCTGATTTGGTCTGGTCTGGGACTGAAAACAATTCAAAAGAAAACATCCTAAGTAACTGGAATAACTAAACATTGTTTAACATGTTAACTGTTAAGGAAGGCAAATCGTGCTATATCAATACATATTTTTCGTATTACATACTACGTATTATTACAAGCTACATATATTTCCTATTACTGTTACATTTATTGCGATTAACAATTAAGGATGTTTTCTTTTGGACTGAAATTTGCTGGTCTGGTCTGGTCTGGTCTGTTTAAGTCTGGTCTGGTCTGGTCTGGTCTGAACTGGTCTGGTCTGGTCTGGTAAACGTCTGGTCCCAGTGTATTTTATAACTACGGAAGTCTGGTCTGGTCTGGTCTGGTCTGTTTAAGTCTGGTCTGGTCTGGTCTGGTCTGTTTAAGTCTGGTCTGGTCTGGTCTGGTCTGTTTAAGTCTGGTCTGGTCTGGTCTGGTCTGGGACTGAAAACAGTCCAGAAAACATCCTAACCCTGAGTAACTTTTGCGGGAAATCAATAACCCTCAATAACTAAACATGTTAAGGAAGGCAAATCGTGGTGTATCAATGCTCAATATACGTTGTGGTAATAGGATTCTCCAATAAGAATGCATGAAATAGGAAGTTACTAAAAGTAATGTATTTGATTAACTCATTAATTACTGTCAATCAAGAAACATATTTATTAATCAATTTCTCGTTTCCTACATATATATATATGATATAATATATATATATATAATAATGATATAATGGTAATGAAATAAACATATCAGACATATCAGATATACTCTGTTGATGATTATTCATTGAATCAATTCACGATCCCAAATAAAAATATTTTACAGCAGCGTAGGAGATGGCAGAAACCAAAAGAAGTATGATTACTTCTCAATTTCCAAGGCTTGTATACTATCACAGAGAGGACGACATTGATTCTAACCTTCATCTATACTCTTATGATGTTGAAAGACGCAACAGCAGTGTCATCAAGAACACACCCGCTGACATGGCAAACCATAAAGGAGTGTGTGCTGCTTATGGATGGATGGTTATGCTAGATGAAAGGACAAATGCCAACTCTTGTTTCCTATTCAATCCTATGTCCATGAAAAAGATCACTTTGCCTCCTTGGAGGGCCATGCAGTGGAGTTGTTGTACTCTTACATTGCCTCCATCTCACCCGAACAGTGTCGTCGCCTTCTTCGATTTAGATCGCCCTTTTATTATGTTTTGCTATCCCGGTGAAGCGATTTGGAGAGAGCAAGACTTCATTGATGACATTGCTATCGTTCAACCATTCAATCAAGTTGTGTGTCACGAAAGACAAATTTATTGTCTCGATTTTCAGGGTGTCACATTGATAGAATTGACACTTTCAAATGATTATAGATTTGAAATAAGACGACAATTGACAATGAAGCGTCCGAATTGGCATTATGACGATGCGACGTGTTATCAGCGCTTGTTGGTCGAATCTCTTGGTGACATATTTATGATTTATATCATCTTCATTGGATTCCCCCGAAAAAAAGTTCGAGAGGTCTGTGTTTTCAAATTGGACATGGATAAGGCAGAGTGGAGAAGAGTGAACGATCTAGGCGACCATAGAGTGTTTTTTCTCAGGGAATCAAGTGTTATGTCATGCTCAACCTGCATTGGATCATCGGGCTCATCTTCAGTCAGAGAAAATTCAATCTACTTCATCCTACCCAAGGAGGATGGGATTAGAACCACCAACATGTGTGTTTATAATATCAGAGAAAAAACCTTCAAAACCTATGTTGTTTGTCCAAAATCTGTCACCTATTGTCAATGGATCATATGAGCGAAACTCATACCAATAAGAATTTTGGCATGAACTTAACATTTAAGTTGGAGTCACATTTTTATTATTTCAAATATTATTTTTCATGTTAATATGTAATTTTGGCAATGATAAAAGCAAACAAGCATGACAGCCCAGCTGGTTGTGAGGTTATCGTGTCTAGTGAGAGGTCTTGAGTTCGAAACCTGCTAGGCACATAGGGGGTTGAAACTCAGTGGGCTTAGTTTCAGCCCCTATTACTCCAGGCTCCCCCAACCCCCTCGGCCATCCCCTAGACCCCCTGGAGTATAAAAAAAATGTTTTAACCCAAACAATCTAACTTCTGTTTCTGATCCCTAAAGGAGAAGAAACAATTTTAAGAATCAGATCCAAACACCCTTAATATTCAATCGTGGCGTAGGACATTTTCTTATCTTGTGATTCTTGTGACTCATTCGTCTTTTCGATTAAATAAGTAATTAAACACATCAAATGTTACTCATTCGTCTTTTCTATTAAATAAATAATTAAACACATCAAATTTATGTCTTCACTTTTTTAAGCAGAAGCTTCTATTGTCGGTGGATCCATTCAAATATATCAAAGGCGTCGGAATAAGATAATAAGCATTTCAATTCTCAAAATACAATACACCATATTTCAAATATATCAAAGGCGTCGGAATAAGATAATAAGCATTTTAATTCTATGATAATATAAATGAAAAGCTTATATCTTGCGCATACCATGCAGATGAATAAAAACTGGCAGTGACCGAAATAATGAAATATGTTTGGGAAAAGCTTACCTTAAATTAGTTTTTTTCCGCTTCATAAAATAATGAGGGCATTTGGAAATTAAAATAGAAGTAGATTTTTATACAATATTCCGTATCAAAGAATAACTAGGGACCTGTTTAGTAGCACTTAAATTGGTCTAATCGGCTGATTCTGATAAAATTTATAAAATTCTGGTTGAAGCGCCAGGATTGACTAATTCTGCTAATTTCTGAAAGAATTATAATTAAAACATATTGTATTAATAAAATTAATAAAAAATTATATTAAAAATAGCTAAAATGATCATCTGCGATAACTTCATCCAACACTGCATAAAAGCAATTCCAACATTATTTTTTTATTATTACTTCATTCAACGTACAAAATCAAAATTTATGTATTTAATGAAAAAAAAATTGATTGAAATGCCGAAAAACATCGCCAAATGGGCTATAAATCATACTTCACAAAATTAATTCACACCATGTTGGGCAATTCAAATTTGATGACTGAGATCTTAGTTTTGACCTCGTAAAATTAGATTTTTGACTTAACCACTTGTCTCAATCCATCTCAATTTTAAGTTTCCTAACTCTTAATTTTCTTACTCGATGTTTGCAAGTCCGCCACTAGCAGTGGCGGAACCAGAGAATAATTTGAGCGGGTGCTCATATATATATATAGATTTTGTTTTATATATTTTTATTAGAATTAAGGGAAAACGAATAAAAAGTAATCATTAGATATATAGAGTGTGGTACCAATAAAAAGAGTTGTTCTCGTGAAAAATGCGAATGGGTGCACTTTTTATTCATTCCGGTACACTGATAGAACTTTGATTTAATTACAAAATTGTCACCACGTTTCCGATAACATGTAGTGCATTGTTGGCTAATTTTGAGGCATTTAATGCACAAAATTTATTCTCATTTTTCATGAGAAGAACTCTTTTTACTTGATCCAAAACTTATACTCCGTATATATGTATATATAGTGTGTTTCAAATAAAAATGCTATTATGCTAAGGAAAAAGTAAATAGTTATGTTAAAGTTAAACTATGATTTGAATTATTCTTGATAATTTACACATGAAATGATATACTACGGGTCTGTTTGCAACAACTTCTGCCTTTAAAAAAGTGTTTTTTTAATGAAATGAGGAGAAGTGATTAAATAAAAGTTGATAGTGTTTGAGAAAAAAGTGATTTTGAAAAGTAAAAGTGTGTAGTGTTTGGTAAAATAAGTGGTTTTTGTGTAATAGAAAAAGTGAAAGCACTTTTGACGCGTAAGCCGAGAAAAAAAAAGTTGTAGTATTTGGGAAAATAAGTGCTTTTTTAAAGCCAAAAGCTGAAAAGTGCTTTTTTAAAAGGAGTTGCAAACCAACCCTACGTATGTCATTATTTAAAGAAGAAATAAATGATTTTTTTCGATTTAGGAAGAAAGAAATGATTAAAAACTCGTTTTATTTATTTTAAAATAATTAAAAGTTGCGGTATAGCAATAATTTGAGGCCATTGAACCATTTTTGAGATAAAAAGTGCCAATGAATTGACAAATAAATTTGAGGCCATAATCAATGATAGATAATTAAAAAAGAAAAAGTGACAAATAGTTTATATTCGAAAAATAAAAAATAAGAATGTAAAGTAAAAGATATAGAAATCTAGCGTGATTCACTTGACCGAAAATTAGTAGAGCCGCTATGTCTAAAAATGCAAAATGGACTCTGCGACTAGAAGAAAATGCAAGGCTAGAAGAAAAATATGCAAGCAAGGCTTAATAGAAGTAAAATAAAATGCTGCCGTGGGAAATTGAACCCGTGACTTCAAAATGGCCATGTGCTGGACAGCAGGAAAACAACCAAGCGAACAAACACAACCTTTGTGCATAATACGCCCTAGGGTCTCTAATACTCCGTATATGATATTTTTGAACAGGGGCTGAAATATATACATATATATATGTACACAACCGCCACCGGCGAACGAGGGGCGGCGGCACCGGCTCGCACCCCCTAGTTCCGCCACTGGCCACCAGGTGTGCGTCTGCTTTACTCCCCTTTGCCGGATGCGCCGCCGCCGCTCAAGGTTTGTCATTGTGAGAAGGTTGAAGAATAACACAGTGATAATCTTAGTCTGGATTACTTTCCGGTATATCCGATGTTTTTTTTTTGTCCTAGGTTGTAGGGTGTTTCTGTCCCCGTTAGCTTTGGCCAGACGGGTGTGGTGACTACTTGGATGGGCTATGTGAGCCGGATTTGCCGCGGGTTAGAGAATCTAGCCACGGTCTAAGTTTTGGAAGTCAGTATGGAGGTTAATGGATGGAACCAGACCAAAAAAACGGCTCTGCGGCGGTGCTACTGGATCAGCAACGCCTGGAATTCTTTTAGATCTTGTGAGCGGGATGCTTCCTTTGGAGGTGGCTGGGCAAACATCTTCTCTCTTCCCGATGGCTGGTAAAATTGGAACATCCTCTTTGGAGTGGTTGATCAAGGGGGTGTTTGGATCTGATTCTCAAAACTGATTCTGCTCCTTCAAGGAGCAAAAGCAGAAGCTGGAGTGTTTGGGTGAAATTCCAGAAGCACTTCTGGTGCTCGAATTTACTCCCAGAATCAGTTTTTTTAGAAGTTAGGGGGGTACCAACTTCTGAAAAACTGATTCTGCTTCTGCTTCTTCTTTAAAAAAGAAGCAGAAGCAGAATCAGTTCCAAACATCCCCCAAATCTCTTCTCCCTTGCTGATGGCCGAAAAAACTAATAGATTTGATTCTATTTGTTCTTTTCATTTTAATAACTCTAGTTTTATGTCCATTTATTTTAGTAGCAAATATAACAATGATGTTAGATTAGTCTACCATGATGCGGGGTTAGCGATCTTCATGGGTCATCAGGGGCTGGTTAGTTCTATGTCTCACACCAGAATAGCTTTGAGCTATTGATTTGCTTTGTCTCTTGTCACTTCCATTACTATTAAACTATTAATAAATAAATGTTTTTTCTTTATAAAAAAAATCTTATTCTAAATAGTTCCCTGTTTTTCATTTCATTTCATAGGGACGGAGGATCCTGTCCCTCCGGCTGGACAGGATCTTATTAATTTAACCAGTGTTGAACCCAAGTGTTGTCCTTGGTGGTATTGGTACTTCTCATACTCCCTGTGTATTGAAATGTTCTCTATACTACCTTTGGGCACAACATTTCAGGACAAAAACACGAGAGTCGGAGTTGTGAAATCCGACTTTGAGGAAGGTTTGTTTCCTCTCTCCACTTTCGGATTTGGGAAATCCGAATAGGTATGTGGTTGAACGTTATAATATAATAATAATAATAATAATAATAATAATAATAATAATAATAATAATAATAATAATAATAATAATAATAATAATAATATTATAATAATAATATACGTAAATAATAATATATCAGATTTTGTAACTTTAGAACATTATTAAATATGTATGTTAACCCAAAACTAGTTTTAATTATAAGGTTTAACTATGTCTTTTAGTCTCTCAAAATATGGTACATACTCCCGGCCTCCGTCCGATTTAAAGGTTCTCATCCACTATTTTTCGGTCAACGTGAATTGTTCTTAATCTTTTACTTTATATATCCAACTTTTATCAAATTTAATTTTTCTTGATCAGTTATTATAAAATTTTTAAGATAGTTTCTAAATATGTAATTTTATTTACTAAAAATAATCCTAGACAGAGATTAGTTAGCTTTATGGTCAGTAAAACATCGTAAACCGCATGAGAACCTTCAATTGGGATGGAGGGAGTAGTACCTTCAATTGTTTTTCGCCCCTGAAATTTAAGGGTGTTTTCTTTTTGGATTGAAATTTGTTATTCTGGTCTGGTTTGGCTTGTCAGAGTCCGGTGTGGTCTGGTCTGAACCGGTCTTGTATGGTTTGGTAAATGTCTGATCTCAATGTATTTTATAACCATGGAATTAGTCTGGTCTAGTCTAGTCTGATCTGTTTAGGTCTGGTTTGATCTGGTCAGATCTGGATGAGTCTGGTCTAGTCTGAGACTAAAAAAGTCAAAAAGGAAACATCCTAAGTGTGGTAAACTGAAATTTATGTTGGTTTTGTTTTTAGTCAATCATGATGATAACAATTTCTTTTTGATAAAGAAACAAACTCAATCAATATATTTCCTCTAATTCTATGTCAAGTTATGTAATTTTAATTTTTAAGAAGATTTATGCTCTCAAATTTGCCTAAAAAAATTATAAAATTATAAATTTAAATATGATCTGATCTGATATGGGACTGAAAACAATCCAAAAACATCTTTATAATATTGAAATATATATATATATATATATATATATATATATA